TGACCTCTCCAATATTCCTAATTGTCATTCTGCTGCAGCCGCCTCCTTTACCAAAGATTACTCCACCATGCTAGCTGACATTCGGCAACAGATTATCAACTCAAACAGTCGCTACAAGGAGGCTGTCGATGTGCATCGCCGAGAACGTCAATTCCAGGTCGGGGATCTCGTCATGGTCCGCCTCCGACGCGAACGTTTTCCACCTGGAGCATACTCCAAGCTATCTAAACGCAAACTCGGACCGGTACCAATTATTGCAAAAATCAATGATAATGCTTATAGTATTGGATTACCAGCAGATTGCAATACATCATCCACCTTCAATGTGTCCGATATCTCCGCATACAAACCAGCCGATGACGCAGTCGTTGCTATTAGCTCGTCGGAGTCGAGCTCTTCTGAAGCCGGGGAGGACTGATGCACCGGATTGTGTGCTTATGTGAACCGGCGGCATATCATACCCTTATAACAAACTCCTGCAGTATCCGCTACTTTATTTTCTGTTTTTAGTATGGCTCTTTTGCTTACAGCTTTTTAGTAATTACACTAATATAGCTAGAGTACAAGTGCAAGAGATACAAATAGGAGATGGAAAAGAGAAACTGTAGCTTTTTATCATCTTCTTTACAATAGCTATACAATACAAAGAGAATACAGAGGTATTCTTATCCCTATTCCTGTTTGCTTGTTTGCTGTCTTTTGGCTTATTGTTTTTCCAGGTACCTCGATCCTGCAGAAGGACATCAAGATTGAAAAATACTTAATATGTCAAAAAAATTATATCCATAAAGAATCCTAGCTCCAACATTATATCATCGTTAAGAGAATTAAACTTCAATGTATTATACAGGGTTGATATTATCATTGTAATCAAACAGAAAACCAGAACCAGCAATACTTATGTTTACAGCAAGTTCCTACTTTGATCCGAAGGGATGTTCTGCAGTTCTGGTGGAAATGGCAGGAAGCAGTGATTCTAAACGGGAACCATTGCAGCTTCTCATTTATGACGCCAAACTCAAAATTCTTGTTTCATGTCGCAACATAAGGATGCACCTAATGAAAACAAAAGAAAATAAGAAATCAAGTTTGACAAAAAAAAAAGTTGAATCATACAACCAAAAGGGCAAGTTCTGGTTATCACACAAGAAAAATGCAATGTAAAAAATTTTTCCAAATAATACAAGATTAGCATTCAAAAAAATAGTGGAGGTCATTGAAAAGTATCTCATAAAGCTAACATAACCCAACAACTTAACAAGAAAGTTAACTTAATTTGTACAACTCCCATTATATTTTTTTATTTGAAAATTCAAAGATATTTATATATTGTGTTTGGATATGGTATGTCAGGATATCTATAAACTAAATATCAACAACCTAGGCAAGTGAAAATCAGAGCAAGCAGTGTTTAACCTATAAAGAATCCATTACTCAGTAACCTATAAAGAATCCATTAATCAATATAGTTAGCAAATTGAGTAGCTGCATTAGAGGATTGGTTTGAGGCAATACTCCTCTTTCCAGCATTAGAGGATTGGTTTGAGGCAGGAGTAGCTGAGTTTAACCTTTGAACTAGCATTCACATTTATAACCTAAATAAATTTATCTGGCTATAAAACTGAGTTACTTGATTAGCCGCAATACTAGTGCTAAAATAATCATGAAAGTTGTCTGGGTACATATACGCTTATATTTATACTGCAAAAAAAATTAAGACATTTTGAATGCCAACACGTAAATCTTTGCGCAAGTACCCAAAACCTACAAGGAAAGAAACTGCAATTCACCTTATGTTTTTCCTTCAGCGCAGCAGGATGGAAAAATTGAGTTGGTTTGTCATAGAAAATTGAAGCCCTAATATGAGGAGAAAGCATTATATATATAAAAACCTTATATATATATATAAACCATCCAAACACTTTTTATGCATGTTGAGTGAACAAGGATTTGGTTTAAAACACATACTTGACTCCCCAATCATGTGCAAGCCATTGTTGCATCAACTCCGTAACGCATAAAGAGCTATTAGCTGTCTTTGCAAAATATTTCTCAAACCTAGAAGTCCATATGGCATTACATTATAATAATAAAGTTAAGGAAGGGTATGTGAAGATATACAAGCCATTAAAGTCAACAATTACCATTTTGAAAGTTTAACTATAATATGGTTACTGCCATGTGACATCCCAAGCAAAGTATATCCAGTGTTGTGCCAATCTATCACAAACCCACACCGTCCAAGCCAAAGCAAACTAGATAGTTTGACGGCAACTAAAGTCGGAACAGAAGGTGGATTCTGCAAATGCAATATATCGGAACATACAATCAGTTTAACAATTAATAGCATGAATAATAGCAATAATAGGGAGCATTATGTTGAATTTTACAGTTCAGGGAAAACAGAGAAGATGTGGAACAAGAAGGTTAAGAGCAGAGCTTTAGAAGAAGATCATGGCAAAGCTACCAAAAGAGAAAATCCAAGCGTTCCTAGGTTTTTAATTGAAAATCTAATGTAATAGGTTACCAAATAATCTTCCGATATCTAGCATTACTCTTCTTTCCAGCATTAGAGGATTGGTCCGAGGCAGGAGTAGCTGCTGAGATGGATGTTTGTTTCTTTGCTTAATTGAACTGAACCTAATTGACTGCCCGAAGTTGAAAGAGTTGCCCCATTTTCCTCCTAAGCTCAAGAGCTTGAAGATAGGAATTATGAGGTGGAAGACCTGGAATTTTTGTAGCATTTCAATTTCTATTCCCCTTAAAACATTAGAGGTCTCTCACAGCCGAAACATCACAACTCTTCTTCTAGCTGACGGAAGAAGACTCGCAGAGATACCTGAAAATTAAAAACTGCCCCAATCTGATCTCTCTCGGAAGATATGGAGAAGCACAAACAACTAATAATTGTCATCTCATACTCAGCGATCTCAATATAAGTGAATCATCGGTATTGCTAATAGAACCATCGAAGAAGTACAGAAATTTACTTACCAGAAATCGCAAGTATCTCCACCGGCGTCGGCTCTCCATCTCGTTTTCCTCCCCCTCACCGTCGGCATCTGAACGGCAAGATTCAGCATCGGAATGGTAGGATTCTGCGTCCAGATGGTGGCTTCGACAGTGGGACTGACTGATTCGGCGTGGATAATCA